TTAACATCTCCCTGCCAACGGCCTGTGTTCCATCATGTTTGAAAGCAGCCACTATTGTCCCAGTCCCAAAGAAAACAGCAATTAACTACTTAAGTGACTACAGTCCTATCACATTAACGTCTGTAGTGATGAAATGCTTCGAGAGATTGGTTCTCCAACACCTTAGGACATGCCTCCCACCGGACTTTGACAAACATTAGCTTGCCTACTAGGTCGACAGACGACGCCATAGCTACTGCTTTACATTCTGTAGTGAGCCATCTGGAGAAACCCGGAAACTATTTCAGGATGCTTTTCATAGACTATAGCTCAGCCTTCAACACCATTCTGCCGAGCATCTTATTGAAAAGGTGACTGACTTGGATTTTCCTTCTTCCATCTGCGACTGGATCGAAGACTTTCTGAGGGACCAGCCACAAACAGTGAGGGTTGGGTCTGTCATATCCACCTCCCTGAAGCTTAGCACTGGCTTCCCACAGGTAGGGACTATATGCTCAGTCCCTATCTGTATTCACTGCACACAACATGTGTACACACACTCTTTCATTCAGATTCCAGTATCTATTTCTTTTTAAAGGAAGGAAGGCATACAGGGTGAAGACTAGAAATGGAGTGATGATGATAATAGTGAAGATGATTGAATACAAAGATGATCCAATAATCCAATTCAAGTGCATTTCATTGTTTATGGTATATGGAATGGAAGGGGAAGCTGTCTTGCTTCAGGCAGCATTAGGTCATGATCATGGCCCTGACACCAGTGAGACTCCGCACACACTTGTGTGTAATTCTTCTAGTTACTCTTTCATTCAGATTCAAGTATCTATTTCTTTTTAAAGGAAGGCATAGAGGGTGAGGACTAGGATTGGAGTGATGATGAAAATAATGAAGATGAAGAAGGTATCCAATACAAGTACCAATTCAGGTGCATTTCATTGTTAAGTTTGGGCAGAGGTACCAACCAAGGTTGACAAGGAAGGAACCATCTGGCAGATAACAACCCAGAGCACATGTGGCAAGGACTGCACCACCTAACTAACTATAAGGTGAACACGAGGAACACAGTCAACATTGATGCCTCGTTGGTGGAGGAGTTGAACACCTCCTTCGCCCACTACGCGGTGAAAAGACCAGATCCCATAGCCGCTGCCTGCTGGCCTTCTGATTCCCAGCCACTCAGTCTCTACGAACATCAAGTGAGAGCTGTATTGAGAGCTGTGAATCCTAACAAAGCTGCAGGCCCAGATGTGGTGCTGGGGATAATGGTAAAGAATTGTGCCAGTCAATTTGCAGGGGTCCTGACAAGGATTTTTAACATCTCCCTGCCAACGGCCTGTGTTCCATCATGTTTGAAAGCAGCCACTATTGTCCCAGTCCCAAAGAAAACAGCAATTAACTACTTAAGTGACTACAGTCCTATCACATTAACGTCTGTAGTGATGAAATGCTTCGAGAGATTGGTTCTCCAACACCTTAGGACATGCCTCCCACCGGACTTTGACAAACATCAGCTTGCCTACTAGGTCGACAGACGACGCCATAGCTACTGCTTTACATTCTGTAGTGAGCCATCTGGAGAAACCCGGAAACTATTTCAGGATGCTTTTCATAGACTATAGCTCAGCCTTCAACACCATTCTGCCGAGCATCTTATTGAAAAGGTGACTGACTTGGATTTTCCTTCTTCCATCTGCGACTGGATCGAAGACTTTCTGAGGGACCAGCCACAAACAGTGAGGGTTGGGTCTGTCATATCCACCTCCCTGAAGCTTAGCACTGGCTTCCCACAGGTAGGGACTATATGCTCAGTCCCTATCTGTATTCACTGCACACAACATGTGTACACACACTCTTTCATTCAGATTCCAGTATCTATTTCTTTTTAAAGGAAGGAAGGCATACAGGGTGAAGACTAGAAATGGAGTGATGATGATAATAGTGAAGATGATTGAATACAAAGATGATCCAATAATCCAATTCAAGTGCATTTCATTGTTTATGGTATATGGAATGGAAGGGGAAGCTGTCTTGCTTCAGGCAGCATTCGGTCATGATCATGGCCCTGACACCAGTGAGACTCCGCACACACTTGTGTGTAATTCTTCTAGTTACTCTTTCATTCAGATTCAAGTATCTATTTCTTTTTAAAGGAAGGCATAGAGGGTGAGGACTAGGATTGGAGTGATGATGAAAATAATGAAGATGAAGAAGGTATCCAATACAAGTACCAATTCAGGTGCATTTCATTGTTAAGTTTGGGCAGAGGTACCAACCAAGGTTGACAAGGAAGGAACCATCTGGCAGATAACAACCCAGAGCACATGTGGCAAGGACTGCACCACCTAACTAACTATAAGGTGAACACGAGGAACACAGTCAACATTGATGCCTCGTTGGTGGAGGAGTTGAACACCTCCTTCGCCCACTACGCGGTGAAAAGACCAGATCCCATAGCCGCTGCCTGCTGGCCTTCTGATTCCCAGCCACTCACTCTCTACGAACATCAAGTGAGAGCTGTATTGAGAGCTGTGAATCCTAACAAAGCTGCAGGCCCAGATGGGGTGCTGGGGGTAATGGTAAAGAATTGTGTCAATCAATTAGCAGGGGTCCTGACAAGGATTTTTAACATCTCCCTGCCAACGGCCTGTGTTCCATCATGTTTGAAAGCAGCCACTATTGTCCCAGTCCCAAAGAAAACAGCAATTAACTACTTAAGTGACTACAGTCCTATCACATTAACATCTGTAGTGATGAAATGCTTCGAGAGATTGGTTCTCCAACACCTTAGGACATGCCTCCCACCGGACTTTGACAAACATCAGCTTGCCTACTAGGTCGACAGACGACACCATAGCTACTGCTTTACATTCTGTAGTGAGCCATCTGGAGAAACCCGGAAACTATTTCAGGATGCTTTTCATAGACTATAGCTCAGCCTTCAACACCATTCTGCCGAGCATCTTATTGAAAAGGTGACTGACTTGGATTTTCCTTCTTCCATCTGCGACTGGATCGAAGACTTTCTGAGGGACCAGCCACAAACAGTGAGGGTTGGGTCTGTCATATCCACCTCCCTGAAGCTTAGCACTGGCTTCCCACAGGTAGGGACTATATGCTCAGTCCCTATCTGTATTCACTGCACACAACATGTGTACACACACTCTTTCATTCAGATTCCAGTATCTATTTCTTTTTAAAGGAAGGAAGGCATACAGGGTGAAGACTAGAAATGGAGTGATGATGATAATAGTGAAGATGATTGAATACAAAGATGATCCAATAATCCAATTCAAGTGCATTTCATTGTTTATGGTATATGGAATGGAAGGGGAAGCTGTCTTGCTTCAGGCAGCATTAGGTCATGATCATGGCCCTGACACCAGTGAGACTCCGCACACACTTGTGTGTAATTCTTCTAGTTACTCTTTCATTCAGATTCAAGTATCTATTTCTTTTTAAAGGAAGGCATAGAGGGTGAGGACTAGGATTGGAGTGATGATGAAAATAATGAAGATGAAGAAGGTATCCAATACAAGTACCAATTCAGGTGCATTTCATTGTTAAGTTTGGGCAGAGGTACCAACCAAGGTTGACAAGGAAGGAACCATCTGGCAGATAACAACCCAGAGCACATGTGGCAAGGACTGCACCACCTAACTAACTATAAGGTGAACACGAGGAACACAGTCAACATTGATGCCTCGTTGGTGGAGGAGTTGAACACCTCCTTCGCCCACTACGCGGTGAAAAGACCAGATCCCATAGCCGCTGCCTGCTGGCCTTCTGATTCCCAGCCACTCACTCTCTACGAACATCAAGTGAGAGCTGTATTGAGAGCTGTGAATCCTAACAAAGCTGCAGGCTCAGATGGGGTGCTGGGGGTAATGGTAAAGAATTGTGTCAATCAATTAGCAGGGGTCCTGACAAGGATTTTTAACATCTCCCTGCCAATGGCCTGTGTTCCATCATGTTTGAAAGCAGCCACTATTGTCCCAGTCCCAAAGAAAACAGCAATTAACTACTTAAGTGACTACAGTCCTATCACATTAACGTCTGTAGTGATGAAATGCTTCGAGAGATTGGTTCTCCAACACCTTAGGACATGCCTCCCACCGGACTTTGACAAACATCAGCTTGCCTACTAGGTCGACAGACGACACCATAGCTACTGCTTTACATTCTGTAGTGAGCCATCTGGAGAAACCCGGAAACTATTTCAGGATGCTTTTCATAGACTATAGCTCAGCCTTCAACACCCATTCTACTGAGCATCTTATTGAAAAGGTGACTGACTTGGATTTTCCCTCCTCCATCTGTGATTGGATCAAAGACTTTCTGAGGGACCAGCCACAAACAGTGAGGGTTGGGTTTGTCATAACCACCTCCCTGAAGCTTAGCACTGGCTCCCCACAGGTAGGGACTGTGTGCTCAGTCCCTACCTGTATTCACTGTATACACATGATTGTGTATCGTCAGGCCCATACATTGTGATTACCAAGTTCGCAGATGACACCATTATACTGGGTCTTATTACAGGTGGAGATGAAACAGCGTACGGGGGGGGGGAGGGGAGGTTCAAAAACTATCCACATGGTACTTAAAAAACTTGCACCTGAACCTACACTTGAACAACAGCAAGACCAAGGAGATGGTGTTGAATTTCTGGAGGAAGAGAGAGGAACCTGGCCCACTTTACATCCAGGGGGTCTGTGTAGAGAGAGTTTCCTCCTTTAAATTCCTGGGAGTCCATCTCAGCAAAGACCTTGGTTTAAACAAGGTTCCAATTGCCCCCATTAAAAATCAAATTTCCCCCCTGTGGGGCGTGGGCCCCACGTTGGGAACCACTGGGTTAGACAGAGTGAAACCACTGAACAAATGAGTAATATGCAGCATAGCCACACTTGTTCATACATAAATGATAATAGCAATTTCCCTAAGATTCCCACTCTCTGTATGGGAGATAATATGGTCTAATGTGTAACTTCTCCTTTCTTTCACAGTGTGATGCACTCAATCAGGAGGTTTCTGACAGCACTGAAGCTCTACAGAGTGCTCAGATGAAGATGGTGGAGCTGAAACGGCTGGCCCAGGCTTTGGAGATTGAGCAGCAATCTCTTTGGAGCATGGTCAGTTCCAGTCATTTTCAAACTTGTGGATTAGATGCTAAATGCCTCAAATGCAGAAGGAGTTTTACTGATCTAAAGATTAGTATGAACTTAATTCTCTCATAGCCCAAAGAAGGAATGCCTCAATGTTGGGGACTGATGGACATATTTGGAAATTTTAGAGCAGGTTATGAACATTTTCATAAACTTTTCTGCTTAGAAGGCTGATATACAGCCCATCTTTCCTAAGATGCTGTCTGTCATTTCTCCGAGCATGACACTAGCAGGCTTCCTATTTTTATATTTTAAGAATGCTTTGAAAGGTTCCTTTAAATAAAGATTATGTACAAGATACTTTCCTTGTATTAGGCAAGCTTCCAAATTATTTTATTAAAAACAATCTAAGACAGGTTACTCTGGACACCATTAGCCAGTATCCTCAGCAGTGGTCGGTTGCCCCCGGTTTGCACCGGTTCTATAGAACCGGTAGTAAAACCGGCGGGAGGCCACCGACCCAGATGTCATCAGAATGCTTCTGCGCATTGCAGAAGAGTGCACGTGGCCCTGTTGCAAACCTGTAGTAAAGGTAAGTAGAACCCACCCCTGATCCTCAACAAAACATTTGTGTAGCCTCCTATAATATTTCCTTGAAGGCAAGCCATGTTTGTAATCTGGACTCAAGTTTCTATTCTCTCCATCTACCTTCTGCTTTTCCTGGGCCCCACAAAACATCTTTAGATTTAGCATCTTCAGAAAAACAAAAACAAAAACCTTTCTTTGTTCCTAGAAAGGAGCCCTTGAGGGGACCTTGGCTGAGGTGGAATCCCATTATGGGGTGGAGTTGTCACAGTTACGTAACCTTGTGGCTGCCCGGGAGGCAGAGCTGCTGCAACTGAAGTTAGATGCCCAGAACCAAGCTGAGGATTACAAGCGACTGATGGATATTAAAAACAGACTGGAACAGGAGATAGCAACCTACCACTGCCTTCTTGAAGGGTAAGGAGTGGGGAAGATGAGTGCCATCTGTTCAGCTTGTTAATCCATTTATTTCTATTCCTACAGTTTAGGGAGTGGAGGGGGGGAGTGCTGATATTTATATAACTCAAACAGCAATATTTGCACTCAACTGGGAAGTATCAGGAGATTTGGAAAGGATTGAATGAATACAAAGAATTGATTTTTAAATAAATGATCTCTAAGAGGGATTCCCCACCCCCTCCATTCACTATCAGCCATGGATTGCTGGTTGATAGCTGAAGAATGATTAAAGAAACCTGGTGGTGAGTGAGAGGGATGAAATAGAATTTCCCGGAGGAAGACCAGTTGGCTGAATGTGGCATGGAATAAAAAAATATATTTGCTCAATTCCAGCCAGTAGTTGCCACATGGTATTAAAATCTTTACTGTATGTGTAGTATAAATTTATTATATGAACCCATATGGAATGCAGCTTGGAAAGAGACTGGAAGCTAGAAATGATGACACATATTTTTGTTTAGTTTTTTTAAATAGTATATTTAATTGTTGCATTATTTTTCTATTTTCTAACTCATCCTTAGATTCTAGGTAGTTGACTACTTATCAAATGTTTTAATACATAATTAAATGATAAATACGTAAATAAGGCTACCAAAGTAATTATAGGCTGGATCAAGTCCCCTATGAAGTTTGAGAGATACTTTTTAGATTTTTTAAAAAGACTAAGCAATGGGGAGGCAACAGAGCTGGATAATAATTATGAATGACTTAAAAGGGAAATTACATAAATTCCTGAAAAAAGAAGGCATTGATGGCTACTAGTCATGGTAATTACAGATTGTCTCAAGTACAGTCCTCAATATATCAGGCTAGAGAAATTAAATTAGAAAAAATGATACTCATGTTTTTCTGAGCTCTCTTGTGAAATCTGGTTAGTTACTGTAAGATTAGACAATGTGGTTAAATTGCTTAACTAGGATTGGGAAAACCCAGCTTCAAGATCACCTCTCAGCCATAGAAACCCAGCGAGTAGTTTTGAACCATCATATTGTTCAATTCAGCTGCCCCGGGAGAGTTATTTTTGAGGGAAAAACTGGGAGAGGAAATGTTATCTACAATGTAAGCCTTGAACTCTTCGAAAAATGCAGGATATCAATCTAATAAAGTAAAATAAAATGCTAGACAACATGGACCTTGCACATGTAGGAACTGTTCTAAAATGACTTCTTTTACTATTTTATTCTTTGCACCTTTCATCTGGCCTCAAACATTTTCTTCCAATCTTGTTCACATTTCACAAATCCTTCATGTTTGTTATATGCATAGCTGCTGAACTTCTGCCTATAAGGAATTATATTGCACCTGCATAGGATTACCTCTTTAATATAATAATAATCAATTACTTCCCTAGTTGAAAGACCATTATAGGCCTTTAGAACTTTTCCTGTTAAACATCTGGCCACCAATCTCAGGTTAATCTCAGTTTCATGCTCATTTACAAGAGACAGCAACTTTTAAATATAGCAAAATATAGTAAAATAGGCTTCTATATCTTCTTCCTCTTTTAAGTTAGAGATTTTTATGTCTGTGGGATCCTAAATTATTTTCTTGCCTCTCACTCTTCCCATTTTTGCCTCCTTTTCCTCTTTCTCACTCCAAAGCTGCTCTTCTTTCTCTTTTTTAATTAACAAACTTTTCCTCTTTCTGTTGCTTCAAATATCTGAGCCTAGCCCCTTTTCTGGCTGGTCTACCTTCTTCTTTGCATGAAGTAGATACCTTTCCCTACCAAAGCAGTAGCCTCTTCTATGTCTAAGGGAGAATCTATGCTGGTTTATTTTTTTCCATCTCCGTTTGGTGTAGACTCTAGTGAGGAGTCTGGTTTCTGAAGTGAGGATGTTAGTTATTGTCTGCAAAGCCCGAGGTCTGCAAGGACCAAACTCGCTTCCTTTTGTAGTTAAGGTTTGTTTTCTTTTGCTACAGAGTACTTAAGGAACTCCTTGAGTTTGAGCCAATTCCACCCGTATGGATACCGTCTTATGTTGGATATCTCATTTTGTTTTGAACATCCAACTTTTATCATCCCTGTGACAAATTCTTTTAATCTATACCTAATTTGGTTGGCTCAAACATCAAAAGAATAGGCAAAAACACAGGTCCCTAGACAATAAATACATGCTCTCACATACTATTATTCACTACTCACTATCTCCACCTTCCCCCCCACTGCTACTCTTCCTTTGTGCTAGAGGAGAGGATTCCTTTCTGACTGCATTAGGTTGCTTTACTTCTGCGCACACAAATGCTCCTCCTTCTCTCCCCCACATGTATCTTCAACTGTTTCACAGCACAGCTTTTATAGATAATTTTCTGCGCCGCAAGTGGTGAGCCGGCTTAAAGGGAAAGGACAAAAGCAGCACAAGTGCCGTTAATTTTCCTAGGCAGCCTGCTCTCTCACAGGCCTGCTTGAACATGGCTAACACTCTTATGAGATGCTGCACGGTATGTCCTTGGGATCTGATGTAAGACTGTAGAACTATTGCTTGATTTAGATACATACATTCCTGCCTTTCTTTTACATCCAGTGTACTTTTTTGCTAATAAAGAAAATACTGTGCAAATCGTTAGTATCTTATATAATACCAGACCATGAAAATAAGTGATGATTGCTCTGTAAGTACATTGGTGCATATTGAATTCATTAGCAAAAAAAAAATTAAAAATAAATAAATAAATAAAAACCTTGCAATGAAAGAAATGTGTGTTTTCTAGATATACTAAAAAAAAAAAGGTTTACTAGAGGGATCCTGTGAAAAGACTGTTACTGATTGTAAAGTGAATGTAAGCCAACTTTTTTTAGCTTAACAGTAACAGAGTTGGAAAGGACCTTGGAGGTCATCTAGTCCAACCCCCTGCTCACGCAGGAGACCTGTACTAGGGATTTGAACCGCTGAACTGCCGACCTTTCTGATCAACAGGCTCAGTGTCTTAGCCACTGAGCTACCTAGTCAGGGTTGGAACCTTTCACTTGTATTGAAACTCCCAAAATACTAAGCCGGCATGAGCTATTTCTTTGGAAAATAGAAGGGGATTCAGGTAGGAACTGAATATTACACATGAACTCTTTATTAGGCAATTTGAAAACCAGAATCTTGCTTACAGACTAGTGTTCTTTTGTTTTGTTTTTTTTTAGGTCTGAACCACCATCTTCTCCAGGTATGCTAAATAATTTGATATTCAGGCTGCTCTTTAGAGAATCTACATTCATACATGCAAAATGAAAATCAGTTCAGAATTGTGCAGCAATTTTAGACAGAGATTCTTATGCAGGCCTATAACAAAAAAAAACTGTTAACAAGAAAACTTCATTTAATCACTGAATCTTTTCCAGAGTTGAATGAGACTTGCAATGGTTTGGATATCCCAGTTTACCTCTCCTTAACCAGTGGCAGGAAACCTATGGTCTTCCAAAGTTTTACTCAAGTTCCCATCAAACCCAGTTACCATGGTCAATGGTTAAAGTTCTACTTTCAGTTTCCACATCTGTATTTCTCAGACTTTATCACAGCATTCTTTGACTTGGTGTCAATGATAAAACTTTTCTGTCATTATCATATTGTCTTTGACCATCATAGAACCATTATAATTTGGGAATTACAATTGCCAAAAAGTAGGGTCATTTGTGTTTTTCTTAGATCCTCATAAAGATAGCAGATAACAATTTGTAGGATTTTTTTTTTTTTAAATTAGGAGAACTGGGTGCAAAAGACATGGGTATATAATTAAAGAATTTTGATGACAAAATTTATTGGAGTGCTACAACCACTGTCTACAATTTTTTTACTTGAACTCTGTCAATTATTAACCCTGCACTAAAATTCCTTTTTCCCTAATTTAGATGAGAAAATATTATTATTATTTACTTTATTCATTAAACATGAAATGAATAAAGTAAATAATAATAATAATAATATCTTCTCATCTAAACAACAACAACAACAATAACTGTGGAAAAAGAAATCGTGTGTTGTCCCGATTGTAATTGGAGCCCTTGGAGCAATACCCAAAGGGCTACCCCGCTATTTAGAAACTCTAAATTTACCGGACTTGAACATTTTGACTTTACAAAAAACCACTTTACTTGGAACAACTTACATCCTCCAATGATATCTTAACGGTTCCTAGGTCCTTGGTTAGGACTCGAGCTGCTGAGCTATTAACCAGCCTCAAAGGCTGTGAATCTCACTAAAGATTAACCAATAATAATAATAATAGATAGAAGATGATGCTTATTAAAAAATATTTTTTAAAAAATTTTTTAAATAAAAAATAGTCAGAAATCATTGCAAATTCCCTTAGGGATATATCAAAAGATTTGTATCTACTTCTGATACAGATTATATGTTGAGGAAGCAGTTCATTCAATGAAACAGTAAGGGATTCTTTGCAATTTGAACTAGAGAAAATTTCTTCTAAAGACAATCTGAACATGAATAAGTCACAATGGATTCTCAAAAGAACTTCAGTAGATGTCTATAATAGATATCTGTATACTGTATGTAACTTTAGTCTAATGTCCAGAAAATCGATAGCTGGAAAATCGATAGCTGGAAAATCACCTCTTACCTGTATAATGTAGTTTTTGCATCCTGCTATCATAAATGTGGATAGACAGCTATATGGAAATAATTGGGACTCAGTAGCATGTACAGATATACAGATTCTTTGGGAAAGAAGCTGGCGTCTCATTTCAACTGGGTTGAGAATACAGAATTACTAATGGGGAAATTCAATAGAATAATTATGGTGGCTCTAGATCAGGGGGTCAAACTCGCGTCATCATGGCATTGTCACATGATGTATCTCAACTCCCCCCCTTTGCTAAACCGGGAGTAGGCTGGCCAGCGCATAATGCATCCGGTCCGTGGGCTGTGAGTTTGACAGCCCTGCTCTAGATGGTGAATAGTTGAAATAGATTTGGTTCAAGTAAAGGTTAAGCCTCTCTGGTAGAATAAAGATACGATATACTATGTTTAACTTAAACAAGATTGAAACGGTATAAAGCAGACCCTGTACGAAGTGTGATTCTTAATACGTATCATTCATTTTAAAATTCCAGTGGTTCTAGTTTGAAGACATAAAAGGTATAAAAGGTATAAAAACACTACCTCTCTGAGGGGGATGGGTAGTTCAAAAATGTGAAATATAAATAAATAAAACAATTATTTAGCTGAAATGTCAGTTGATGGCTCTGGTTCGTATTTGTATAAATAATAGTAATCCTATTGTGATTTATCTGTTCCCTAACACCTTAGATACTCCATGCTGTCTCTCTCCCTCTCCATCCCTGATACAGTGCCTTGTCTCATTCCTTGCAGAACCTTCGGTAAGCCGACGGGTGAAGACTGTAATTGAAGAACTGGTGGATGGCATGGTGGTGTCATCCCGTGTGGAGGAGGTGGAGCACCAGCTTTGAAAGATGCTGCCTTCCCTAAAGCAGTGTTGGTAGCACAAGGATGATGGTGATGATGAGGAAGAGGGGAAAGGAATAGAAGCTCTGAATGAGTTTTTTTTTGGTTGAGCCTTTCATTTTTTGCGTAGGTATCTGTTGATTGTGACTTTTGGAATTATTTGAAGTCTTTAATTCTAATTTCCACACCCTCCCTTGGATTCTGTTGCATAACGTGCTAATCATGTCTTGGATCACACTTAAAAACCACAATGCACCATAAAGTGGCTTCCTTGGTTTTGTATTAGTACAAGTAGTCCTCAACATTTAACCATTCATTTAGTGACCATTTGAAGTGACAATGGCACTGAAAAAAAGTGACTAACGATTGTTTTTCACACTTATGACCCTTGCAGCATCACCATGCTCACTTGATCAGAAGTCAGACCCTTGGAAACTGACTTTTGGTTAAGATGTTTGCAGAGTCCTGGGGTCATGTGATAATCTTTTGTGACCTTCTGAGATCAGGGGGAAGTCAGATTCACTTAACAACTATGTTATTAATTTATCACTTGCAGTGATTCACTTAACAACTGTGGCAAAAAATTCACTGAACAAATGTGTTGCTTAGCAACAGAAATTTTGGACTCAATTGTGGTCATAAGTGGAGGACTACCTGCATAATCTGAATTATGAAACATTGGAATATCTATTTTTGGAGAATCAATGGATCCAGGTATTAAGAAATATAAAATATGATTTAAAAATGAAATGAAATAATCAGAAAATATTATTTCCTGTTTATTAGACACACTAAAAATGGTTAAAAAGGGATGGATATTAAATTTTTATGTTGGTGTTATAAGAAATTTTTAAATCAATGATTTGGTCTTATCTTCTTATATTTTTGATTTGCATTCAAATTACTATATATGTTATTATAATTATGGGAAAAGATATTAAAGTTAAGAACCTCATTATATTCTGAACCATATTTCTAAAACAGGTTTTATTATTTCATGAAAAGCTTTGGTTTACCAAGTCTGAGCTATGGCAAAGTGGATAATTTTACATGTTTGGAAAGTATTTTACTCTCCTGATGTTAAGAAGTGGCTCCAGAATATGAACTTGGTTTTGAAAAGTCTCTGCATTCTAAAAATGAGAAAATGACACAGGAATTGCTGCATTGTCTAGATTTAATGATAAGTTTAAGGATTAATTTTATATTATTATTTACGGCAATTAGATGGATCTTTTTTCAGTTATTTGTCATCCCCCCCCCTCTATTTTGTCATATTTAGTTAATTTTAGTTACTACAGCATGGTTTAGGTTTTCTTTCTTCATTAACTTTTTTCTTCTATTGGTGATGTACAGTATGATTATTGTTTATCTCTCTCTTTAAAAGTAAATTGTTTAAAACAATGGTCTTCAAAAACCTATTGTCTTGTTTTGTCTGGAAAAAAAAAGCTGCTAGTATTTTTTTAAAACTGGGAAAAATGTTCCAAATGAGGGTTTGCTGATTTTCTGTTGCTTCTGCCAACAAGGAGTTTTGCATGGTTCTGCTTTCTGCTGTTTTTCACCTCCTATACCTGTGATGGCAAACCTATGGCATGCGTACCCGAAGTGGCACACAGAGCCATGTTGCCTGGCATGCGTGGTGTTGCCCATTCCTCTTCTGGGTTTCTGGGGCACATGCACGCACGATGAACAGCTGGCCTTTTTTGCATGTGGCAGTGCTGGAAACTAGAAGAGCTGGTCTTCCATTTTTCTGCGTGAACATGTGGGCTGGCCAGCTAATCGTTGCATGCGCATGCACGCTAGAAACCCCGGAAGAGTAGCTGGCTGAAACTGGAAGTTCAGTAGCTGAAACTGGAAGTTCATTTTCGGGCGTGAGCATGTGCCCTGGGCAGCTTCTCTTCTGGGTTGCGGCCCAGATGTGCATGCACAAAGTGCGCTCGCTCGCTCGCTCCCTTTTCGGCACCACAAGGTTCACCATCATTGTCCTATACCTTCAAAGCACAAAATTATGAAAACAATTTTATGGTTCTGCAATGAATACTTCCAGGAGGGCATTGAACGTTGAATGTGTTTTACTGTCAAATTAGGTGTGAGGTAGAGTCAGATGTAGTTCTTTTTCAACCTGAGCAAATCAACTGATATAAACTTCCCTGCATCTCACCACAAGATGGCGGTAGAGGCTGTATAATCAGAACACCATTGGTACTTAAATGCTGACACTTTAAATATCAGAACAAAATTAACCCTTGCACCTTTACAGTCTTCTATTAATTTATTTGTAACTTTAAATCTAAGCAATTATTCTTGAAGACCATAATCATATGCAAGGGTATTCAGGGATTTTTATTTCTTCTAAAAAATGTGAAATAGAATCTGATCTCAGAAGGGAAAATTAGAAATAGTTCACATCAATTGCCAATGTGAGAACAAGAAGCAGAACTACCGTAGCCATTTTAGTGCAATTTCATATAGCCTGTTCCTACTGAAAAATATGTATTGTCTGGCTGGAAATTGTTTCATGCATCATCACCAGGTGGCAGTGCAGCCTATATGTTAGGGGAAATGAGCTAAACTACATTTTGCAGTGTTCTCCAGTTAGGGGAGCAACAGGGTTAAGAATATATTTAACAAACTACTGTCACAACACATGAGATTAGACCAAAGTGAATTAATTCAGGGCCAGATTAGATCAAAGTCTGCTCTGATTCAGAAACAATAATTACCCCGTTTCTTCAACCACTATCATTATTATTATTATTACTTTCTATTATTTATTTTCAATTCAATCTGGGAGCCTGTGCAGTAAAAAAAAATTAAATGAAGTGAGGTGTCTCCATAATTTTGTATCTCCTTACTGGGGATAATGAGAAAGAGGTTTTACACATTTAAGATTCCTGTTTCTAGGCCGCTGTGGGGCTCTCTAACTATTGCAGAATTAGGATTTTTTATGAACCTGCCTGGCAATTTCTCAGAAATGTTTTTCATATGCTCAAAAGGCATGTGGTTTTCTATTTTATTCTCAGTGCTTGAGAATTTCTTTGGAATTATCCTTGGTGGTGTTTTTAAGTTTATTTTATTGCTGGAGAAGGCAACAGGAATCTTGCAGTTGTGATGGTTATAGTTGCACATCTTTCCATTAATGTTGGAGTCTCTTTGTCTATCCATGTTTGTAATTTGAAAAGCTAAATTGTAGACATTCCTTCATAGTATTTTTCCTTGTGAGTCAAAGGGACAATGAGAAGGCAGAGAGGCTGCATACTATGGAGAGATTATTACAATTAAGCAGACATTTGAACAGACAGCTTGCCCATCTTGTAATTAAATAAGAACATCGTTATCCCATTCCATTCATAAAAATTCTACGAAATTTTTCATTTTTTGAAAAACTAATTCATATTTTTCACATTGATGCTAGTAGAAAATATTTATTCATTACGTTGTTATCTTGCCGCTATAACTTGTTATAACTATAACAAGTTCTATAACTGTTTCCCACAACAACATCCTGTGAAATGGGTTGCACTGAGAGTGACTAGCCCAAAATCAGTCAGCCAGCTTTCTGGTCTAAGATAGGACTAGAATTCACAGGCACCTGGTTTCTAGGCCAGCGCCTTAATCACTACATCAGCTCACTGTGTGTGTTCAGCTCAACTGCTTATCATGGCATAAAAAAGCACAGAACTCACTCTGGAACAATACATACGTGTCCAGGAGGACCATACTCTTCTAAGCAATTGTCCTTCATGAGTACATTATTTATTTATTTATTGTTTAAATTTATATACCGCCCTACTCCCGAAGGACTCAGGGCGGTGAATAGCCAAAAGATAAAACACACATAATACAAAATTTAAAAACAATATAAAAGCCCATTAAATAGTTTGGCCCAAACAATTTAAAACACCCCTATTATTTTAAAACAAATTTAAAATTAACAATTAAAAGGGAGGTTAGGCCAGGCCAGCCTGTTGAAATAAAAAGGTCTTGAGGGCACGGCGGAAAGTGCATAAGTCTGGGATCCTCCGTATCTCCGGGGGAGCTTGTTCCAGATGGCAGGTGCCCCCACAGAGAAGGCTCTCCCCCTGGGGGCCGCCAGTCGACACTGTTTGGCTGATGGCACCCTGAGGAGCCCCTCTCTATGGGAGCGTACTGGCCGGTGAGAGGCTACTGCTGGCAGAAGGCGGTCTCGTAAGTATCCCGGTCCTAAGCCATGCAACGCTCTAAAGGTGGTAACCAAGACCTTGAAGTGCACCCGGAAGACCACCGGGAGCCAGTGCAGCTCACACAGGAGAGGTGTTACATGGGAACGCCATGTCGCTCCCATAACCACCCGCGCGGCCGCATTCTGGACCATTTGGAGCCTCTGGGTGCTCCTCAAGGGGAGCCCCATGTAGAGAGCATTACAGTAGTCCAGGCGGGAGGTGACAAGGGCATGAGTGACCGTGTGTAAGGATTCCCGATCCAGAAAGGGACGCAACTGGTGAATCAGGAGGACCTGATAGAAAGTCCTCCTGGCCACAGCCGTCAAATGCTCTTCTAAAGACAGCCATGAATCCAGGAGGACACCCAAGTTGCGAGCCCTCTCCATGGGGGCCAGCGACTCGCCCCCAATAGTCAGTGATGGCACCAACTGACTATATCGGGATGCCGGAAACCACTCAGTCATGGGTGGGTTGAGCCTGAGTCTGTTTCTCCCCATCCAGATCCGCACAGCCTCCAGGCACCGGGACATCATTTCCAGGGCATCATTGAGGTGGTCCGGGGTGGAGATGTACAGCTGAGTATCATCAGCGTACTGATGGTACTTCACCCCGAAACCATGGATGATCTCACCCAGTGGCTTCACATAAATGTTGAACAGAAGGAGCAAGAGGACCGACCCCTGTGGTACCCCACATACAAAGCACCTCGGGGTCGACCTCTGCCCTCCTGCCAACACAGACTGTGACCGGTCAGAGAGAAAGGAAGAGAACCACCACAACACAGTGCCCCCCGCCCCTAACTCTTCCAACCGGTGCAGCATGATACCATGGTCGATGGTATCAAAAGCCGCTGAGAGGTCTAATAGGACCAGGACAGAGGAACAACCCCTGTCCCGAGCCCTCCAGAGATCATCAACCAACGCCACCAATGCTGTTTTCGTGCTGTACCCAGGCCTGAAGCCCAACTGAAACAGATCTAGATAAACCAGGTACATCTTCCAGAATATCTTGACAGAATGACCACCAGTTCCAAATATCTACTGTTTTGGCTCTAAGAAATTAGGAAGAAGAAGTTAAAAAGTGCAAAGATAATACAAGGCAAACTGAGAATGTTCATCTTATATGAAAGCCATAACTTTGGTGACACTTTGGTGACAACCCTCTTATGACTTCCAATCCATCAAGGATTTGAGGATGAAGTAAACAAATTTCTTGATGATAAACAAACCATATTTTTCAGACTATAAGGCGCTCTGAAGTATAAGATGCACTTAGCTTTTGGGAAGGAAAACAAGAAAAAAAATCTGCCTCTGCCACCCAGCAATTTGCCTCCTTGCAGCAAACAGAAACAGGGTGGTCAGCTTCCGCACAGCCTGATTTAGCATGAGCAACTGATTGGCAGTTGGATCACCTCCTGGAATACCTCCTATCAGTTGTTCCAGACTGTGGGGATCATCGCCACCCATCGCCGCTGTCACCGCTCATCCCAGCCGCCTATCCTTGACACCTGGAATGGGCTGAAAATGGGCCACGCAGAGACCGAAAATGGGGTGCACAGAGGCTGAAAATGGGATGCGTGGAGGCTAAAAATGGGGTGTGTAGAGGCGGTGATAGGTGCAGCGGCAATGGGTGATGGCGCCGATGGCTGGCGGTGATCCCTGCAGCCTGGAACCACTGATAGGAGGTATTCTGGGAAACAGATCCAACCACCAATCAGCTGCTTGTGCTAAATCAGGCTGTGCTGAAGCTGACCAGGCTGTTTGCTGCAAGGAGGCAAATTGCTGGGAGGCAGAGGCCAAAGTGTGGGGACTGGTGGGTGCGCGGGGCTTCAGCAACATTCGCTGTCTAAGATGCACAGACATTTCCACCCACTTTTTTGGAGAGGGAAAGTGCATCTTATACTCTGAAAAATATGGTACCTTCATAAACATATGGAGGGCCAGTTTAACATAATGGTTTAAGGCATGAAGTGAGAAACGAGGAGACTGTGAGTCCCATCATAGGCACCAACCCAGCTGAGTAATCTCGAGCCAGTCACTCTCTCTCAGGCCTAGGAAGCCGGCAATGGCAAACCACTTCTGAAAATATTGCAAAGAAAATTATCCAGGCAGTCCCCAGGTGTCAAACATTGACTTGAATTTATACAATTAAAATCAGACAGGAAAAAATATGAAAAGATTATTTGTTTCATCCCATATCATTTAAAACTGATGCCCAACATCTGGAAAATCACCCTCTTTCTGCATCAGTGAAATCAAATAAGCACAACTATTCCCAGCAATTGAGATACCGGGGAATGTAGCCTGTTTGAAAAAAAAAACAAAAAACCTCCAAGTCAGCACTCAAACCATATTTCTGAATATGTGGGACTTCAGACTCAACCTTGAAAAATGCCACATGCTCTCTGCTGGGACAGATGAATGTACTAGTTTGCATTTCTTCCATAAAGGGGGAAAAACA